GTGGGGGAGGAGGGGGGGGGGGGGAGTGGATTCTTTTCTTTCTACATGCAATATAGAAACGCATGCAAGAGCGTAAGTAAGCTGAGGGAATAGAAGACAGATGGTGTAACCAGAAGAGATGCCGCCGTTGATGATCCGGACAGAGTTCTACCGGCAACTGCAGGGGGAACTCCCGCATTTCCATGGCTGCTCTGCTGTTCGTCTGTCGGTAACGGATACGGCGAGGTTTTGTTCGGGGAAGGCCATGGAGATATCTTATCGTTGCTTAGATCCCGACCTGAAAAACCAGCGCTTGGATCAATCTCGGAAAGCCGGCTGTGTCTGATGTAATGGATATATATTTCTAACGTGACGTAAGCTAAGCCCGGGAAGGAAAGCTCACATTTTGAGGCAGACCAGCTTAATTTCATGTTCTCTCTATCGAAAACCAACCGATATCCCGTCATGAAGTTCTCTGCAAAAGACGCGTAAATACATGAAGACCCGGTTTCTGAATGTTCATAGAAGGAAGAGAAGGATTATACGTCCAATGATTCCTAAGTCTTCTTCCACAGGTTGCACAGCCAAGCAAAATCCTAACAGCTCCTGCAGCATTATTCGCACAGAGGTTGATCACTTTATACGAAAATCCTCATTGCCCATCCAAAGTATAAATCTCGGTTTTTTTTACCAAAAGTAGAAGAATTGAAATGGTGTAAACCTGATCTTGGTAGATCCTGAAGATTGGATCACGGATCACAAAACTGTTGTTGGGTGAAAACATGAGTTTCATTGTCGGTAGCTCGGGCTCGACACTATATCCACCATATATATATAAAAAAAAAGTGAAAACGGAATATTGTGGAAGCTCGTAAACAGAAAATTTCACAGATATAAAAAACGAAGCACTTAACCAGAAAAAAAGAGTTCGGTAAGGAGCAGTTTACCTGGTTTTATAGCAGTACTCCCATGGGAAACCATCAAAGCTTGAAATTGTAGCGTTTATACGTCTATCAAACTGTTGCACATGACAGCAAAATGAGACGACGGCTAATACGAAAACTCGTCAAACCATAAGTAGAGAAAGCACCTCATATGCAACTTTCTGGTATATCGCTTCCGGAAGATAAGTAAAGGATGATCCACTGTCAATGAGTGTTCTGAAATTGGATCCCTTAAGACAGGAATTACCGACACAGCAAGTATCCACCCCGACAATGTAGGTAATACTGAAGTAAAAAGACAGTCAGTAAACCAGAATGTAAAGCAAAAGTGGGACAATATACTGAATTCAACTGCTAAGAAATCGCCGGAATACAGCATAGATAGTGTTCGTTCATACTATTTGTTGTTCAGAGGAAGGAATCGTGTTGACTGTTGCAAAGACGGTCCCATGTCACCGAAGTAGATTCTCCCCGAATGATCTTCTCGAAAGCACAATGAGAAAGAATTCCGCACCAATCCTGCTTTAGCAAGAAAACTGGGAACCGAAATTTCGCCAAGCCCTAAACCCATTAAACCATCTGGAGCAACCCCTTCCAAGTAACCCCCACTTTGCTTCTTACCACATCTGCAATCAGGACAGCAACACAAGTGAGAGAGAAAAAACAAAACCACAGTTTCAAGAAAACAAATGCTCGAACAGACATCCTGTCTGCTTTTACTTAACTCACCCTATGATGACCCGAGCCCTGACAGAGGCATTCAGTCCATCGCTTCTACCAGATCTAAGATGTAATATGTCCTCGACAAGCAATCCAGAACTCGAGGTGTTTTCGGTGGCATAGTTAACTGTGTAAGGGCATTGCTCCACTGGATTCTGACAGTTTGGAGCTGAATCACACAATCGATGCTCACATGAGAGGAATTTGCTGGTGCTTGAACTGGATGGATCATACTCGTTCAGATCTCTGTCCTGCAGAATAGACGCCCCAAACACGAGGAAGCATCTGCCAATCAATCAGTGGAAATAAGTGCTGAACCCGACATTCTGTGCACTTCAAACACAACACAAATAACCGGGCCTGCTGACAAAACCTATTGGACTCCCAGTTCTATACACACCGATATTCGAGCATAAGCAACAAGATGAGAACATCATACCAGACTGCTATAGTAAGTGGAAGATAGAGGAGCACATTGCAAGCAATTGCAGGGAACCCAGAGTAGATCACTGCCAGCATCCAATGCCACAAGAAACGAAACGTTTGGTGTCCCTATGTCGATCCACATGTAGTGAAGCCTGGAAGCAATGTACCAACCAACCAACACAATGAAATATTGATCGTTTCCATAAGGCAGAGTATCTATGTGAAGCTTAGGCCTTAGCCGTTAATGGGGGGGGGGGGGGGGAAGGGAAGAGAAGTGGTTAAAGTTTTCAACTTTTTTCATTTCTCGATTCCAGAATCTGGTGTCTAAACTGAAACTGCGATGAATAATCAGAATATTCTAATTTTATGCCATTAATCACCGACAATTAATAGAAAATTCCCTTAAACAAAGGTACAGTTCCACACAACAAAAAGGCGAGAAAACCTAACTGTATAGACTGGAAATACCCAGAAATGGGGAATTGTCACGAGAACAAAAGAGCATACCATCCAAAGTCATTCCCCAATCCCATCGTTTCGCTTCCTTCCGAAGGAAAGAGGAACTGAGACTTGGGTCCGAGCTTCATCTTCTGCCGTCGAAGATCACTGTTCGTGAGCAGTCGGTAATACTCCAAGCTCCGCTTCTCCGGCCACGAACCCGACCAGTTTCGACCCGCACGGGAAGCAATCGAAGCCACGGCTTCTTCGGAGAACCGGTGAATCAGCCTCGACGAGAACACTGAAGCGACGCTCACGCTCTTCTCCGTCGCGAGAACCAGAAAAAGGAGCAGAAAAATCGGAGATTGTAACGCCATTGTCAAGCTAGGGTTTTTTTTTTCCGAGCAGCGAACACGATCTAGGATTCTCGAACAAAGGGGGAGAGAGAGAGGGTGGTGGTCGGAAAGCTCTATCGGTACTCTCTGTGAGGAGTGACTGGAAGCAGAAAGTTGAAGAGAGGGACGAGGGTAGGGTGGGAAAAGACGTAATTACCCCCAACGGCTACGTTCCACGTGTACTGCCAATTATTACGGTATCGGTCCGGTTTGGTTAATTACGTGTTTAGGAACCCATTAAACAATAAAATATTATACTTCCGACCGGTTTAGTTTACGATTTCTTCCAAACATTTTCGGTATTTGTAATTCCACAATATTACGTTTATTTACAATTTCAATAATTTCACCGGTAAGTCTCACGGCGATGCTATTATATACTTTTTTTCTAGAAAAAAAAGTTGAGAACTTTGGCTATCTTTTTGTTCGCATTTGCATTTCAAACAAAAAAAAAAGGAAAAGAAAAAACATGATAGACGCCGTTTGGACAGAAGGAAACCAAAAAAAAAAACACCTCCCCTAATGTTCTCTGCGATTCTCTCTCTCTCGCTTAAGGCTCGATTTGCGGTAAACGTCGTCGTGTCGGGACTCTCCCCCTCTTATCCAGGCTCCACCTTCCTCTCCTAGGGTTCTCCTTTCATCCTCCGCCGTCGCTCCGCCGCGAAATTCCTCCTGCTCCACCGTATCATCCGTCAAATTCCCCTCGATTGACGATACTTCGGCGCTTTTTCTTCTGCCCCAGTTCGTTCTCCCTCCAATTGTTGGAAATTGCTTAGGGTTTCAGCTTCTTCCTCCTCCGTGGAATTTCTACTTCTAGGGTTTTGTTTTGGTGGTTTTCTTCGATTTGTCGACAGTTCGGGTGGGATGAGTAGTGCGTTCAGTGAACAGATCCTGATTGATAAGCTCGCCAAGCTCAACAGCACTCAGCAATCCATCGAAAGTAACCTCGTTTGATTGCTTCTTCCTACCTTTGATCTAATCTAATGTCGTGATTTCTCTTTGTTGTTCATGAAACTGTTTGTCTCTGTCCTGAAGCTTTGGTTATTGACCCTTTTTTCTCTGAATTAAGCTTTGTCCCATTGGTGTATATTTCATCGGAGCCATGCGGAATTGGTGGTAACGACATGGGAGAAACAGTTCCACAGTACAGAGATGGCGCAGAAAGTGCCTCTCTTGTACCTCGCCAACGACATCCTTCAGAACAGCAAGCGTCAGGGCAATGAGTTCGTGTCCGAATTCTGGAAGGTACTGCCGGGGGCTCTCAAGGATATAGTTTCCAAGGGAGATGAACGGGGAAAAGGCGTTGTCTCGCGTTTGGTGAGTGGAAAAAAGAATCCTTCTTGTTGGCGTTTGTGTTCTTGATGAATGATTTATCTGTTCTATAAGTGTTGAATGAAAAACTTGGCATTTCGAATTGGGTATGCAATTTTCGTGTTTGAATGTGTATCATTAGTCGCAGAAAGAACGTGTCTTGTGGATTGGTTGAAACGCATCTCTTGTTTTTTTTTTATGCTAATGTTGTTCCTTTCTGTACTTATGTCTTTTTGACTGTTACGGTCTGATATAAATTTCCATATCGAGAGACAGTGTGCTTGATGTTATAATTAGTTTGTTGTAGAAAATCTTTTTCTTACCTTTTCTAAGTTTCTCATGTCATTCGGCTCAATCCCTAACAGGGGAAGTAGCATTGAGTTTGTGAAATTCTGTATCTGCTTTAGGAACCATGTGAAACTTTTTTTTAACCTATTGATTTTCTGCTGGTATGACTGATAGGTTAATATATGGGAAGAAAGGAAAGTCTTTGGCTCCCGCTCGAAGAGCCTCAGAGACGTAATGCTCGGAGATGAAGCTCCCCCTCCCCTCGACGTCGGGAAAAAACGATTACGAGGATCCAAATCTTCAAAACGTGATTCCAAATCATCTAGAATGGTAATGCCGCCAATATCTCGATCTTTCTCTAAGCTTTCAGGAGATTTCCCGTTTGGGTTTCCGGTAACTTTGAGTTTTTTTATCGGTTCATTTGCATTTTGTAACCAGAAATCGTCGAGTGGAGGTATAGCCGAGAAGATAGCATCAGCATATCATTTGGTCCAGGTTGAGAACTCGAGTGAGGAGACAGAGATGAATAAGTGCAAGTTCGCAGTTAAACATATAAGAAAGATGGAGAAAGACGTTAAAGACGCCTGCTCTACTGGTAAGCTAACAGTTGATATGGCATGACCCCGACCTTGTCCGAATCACCTTTGATGCGAACGCTCTGTCTCTAAAACATGGCGAATGTTTAAATCTCTGCAGCGAAAGACCCGAGAAGAAAAGAGTTGGCGGAAGAACTGGAAGAGGAAGTGAAAATTTTGAAAGATTGTGTCGAGAAACTTAAATCGGTCGAAGGAAATCGATTGAAGCTTGTAAACCAGTTGAGAGAAGCTCTAAACCAACAGGTAATGGCTTTTGCGAAATTTCCAAGTTCAATAATTCCGAGAATGTCTTTCATCATCACACCTTGTGCTTATTTCCCGAGAATTCTTGTCAGGAATCCGAACTGGAGAACCTTCAAACTCAGATCCGGGTATGTTCTGTCCTCTTTTCTACCTCGTGTTGTGGTTTTTACGCAACGATATTTCCCTGATACCTCTTTGTTAATTTATCAGGCAGGACAAGAACAGAGAGAAGAAGCTGAAAACATGCAGAAATGGCTCAAGGATGAGGATTATGTGTTGCCCAAACCGACAACCACTGTCCCAGTTACTGTCCCGACAACACTCGACATTGGTCAAGCTCCGAAAGCCATGACCGGATCACTTGCTGCCATGGTTGCTGATAAGCTCTCGTCGTGTACCTCCTCGCATATGATTATGCAGTCTGTTCTATCTTCATTGGCAGCGGAAGCTACAAAGACTGCCAGCCTGTCGTCGAAACCAGAGAGTTCGGTTCCTGTTTCGGACAATACTAATACTTTTGTTCCGCCAAACCCTTCTTACAACAACAACAACTCGGCCATGTTACCTCAGACCACTGTCCAGAACCAGACACAGTTCCTTCAACCGACGACCCAACAGTTCCTTCAACCGCCCGGAATGAACCCTTACGGTTTCAGTAATATCCCATTAATGCCGCCGCCACCACCGCCACCGCATATGATGGGCCCCGGGAATCAACCGCTGCCGCCGCTGCAAATGCCGGCAAACCCACCTCAGCAATCTCAACAGGGTCGCACTTTCCAGCCGCTGCAGCCACCAGGGATGATGTATTATGGACAACCGCACCATTCGTAGGGTTTTTGAGAGTCTATTGTTTAGTTAGAGAGTTAGCTATGTGAGTTAAGTTAGTCCTGACCACCTCATGTTCTGAATGTAATTTGGATAATGCATGGCTTGGGTTGGGTCGCATCATGCTGACTAATGCCTCAAAAGCTGTGGAATGGTGACCCCCTTCTTGGCCAACGAAATGTTTGTACCAAAGGTCCGCAGACGTGGAGGATCCAATAATTGTCCTGTGAACTGGTTCAGTTTGGTCCCATCTTTGATCCTCCTTTTCTACTTTGTGGTGTTGTACTCTACTACTCTGTCACTGAGCTTTGTTAGTCTTCTTACCAAAGTGAAATGGTCTATTCGTTTTGTATTGTCAGGAAACAACTTATTCAAAAGTACATTGGAACAGGAGAGAAATCTTCACAATGGTTCTCGGTTAACATATAACCTGGTTTTGTTCATCGTATCTCAACAAGTTGAAGTGCAAGTTTTGTCTAACCTTTCATGAAGGTCTTCAAGAGGAAATCTTTGACACCAATGGGGAGATGGTGCATGACTGCCATGACAGTAGAGTACCGGCCTGAAGAGAACCAAGGGGGAGGATTTTTCTTCAGGACCACAGCCACTGTGTCTTTGGCGAATGTTTCTGCGGGGGTCGGATTAATCTTCTGTGACAGGAACGCCCTTTCCCGGATAGACTCCTCGAAAGGTTTGTATAGTTTCAGTTCAGGCATCCGGTTGAAGGTCGATACAGCGGAGTTTGCTATGTTTGATCTGATGCCTCCTGGGACAACGTTTATGACATCTATTCCAAAGTGTCTGAGCTCCAACCTAAAGACGAAAAAACATGAATAACTACCCAAATCACGAAAAAATCTCTTTAACCTACAAAAGAGATCAGAACTCATGATGATGAAAGATGGAGAACCTAATTTCATTGCGCCTTCACTGCAACCAGCTTTTCATACAGTTGTAACCGTGAATTCTTTATGTATCCGTATAGACAGAAATCACATCTAAACAGAGTGAAAATGATTGTGATTGTATTGGACGCTGTTTCTAGTAAAGAATAGCGGGTGACATCAAGCTCAAGACAAGACAAAGGAGTGATTGAACAAAGATAAAGATCGAACCTCAAGGTGTCGTTCAGGGCATGAAGAGCAGCTTTGGATGCTGTATAGACTCCAGCCCAAGGCCCTGGCGCCATAACTGTGATGCTCCCAATGTTCACAATCTTCCCCTTTTTCTTAGAGGCCATGTGAGGAACAACAGCTTGGACCATCCTCATGGAACCTGCATTGGCAGATTCATCCTTAGCAATACATTCTCAGAACTTAGCCAAAGAGGAAAGACCGCAATTGCAATAGCCGACTTCCACCTTTCCTCATAAATCATCATTCGATAAGAAGGTTTTCTCCACATCCGAATGATTAATCACCGAACCGGTACTTTTTCACCAAGCACACTCTCTAATCGCACATGAAAGAGGAAAAAGAAATGGAAATGACGAATCGGAAGTAATGCCGGAAACACAATTGCAGTTCGTGTGTGAGTAAGGGGGGAACTGAGAGATTCCAATTGAATGCGAATTTCTTACCAAACACATTGGTGTTGAAGGTGTTTTCCATGGCGGACAAGGGAAGCTCGGCGAGAGGTCCGACGCACTGGACGCCGGCGTTGTTGACGAGAACGTCGATGCGACCAAACTTATCGATGACCTCGGACAGAACCTTACTCACGCTCTGCTCAGACTGGACATCCATCTCCTGGACGAAGAACCTCGGATCCTGGTCGAGGTCCGCCATCGTCCGCCGCGATCGGCTCGTCGCCACCACCCTGCAACCTTTCTCGGAGAAGGCACGCGCGAGCGCGTGGCCTATCCCTCCCTGGGAGCATCCCGTGATCACAACCACCGGAATCTCCTCTTCGCTTCCCATTCGGAGATCTCTATTCTCTAGGTTTCGGGTAGAAATACTCCCACCGCTCCACCTTGGAATAAATGGGCCCTAAAACAATTGTTACTTTTATTTGTCCTCGATACAATGTTATTTCATTCTCTGACATTTTATTTTTGTAAACTAATTTTAGATAATTATTATATTCCACGTACATCAAAGTTGGATCGATAATTAATATTTTCCTGTGTACATTTATATCTTAAAAAGTTCCGTCATGCATTTCTCGGGTGTGGCATTTTGAGGGAAAGAACATATTTTACATGTTGAATATGCAACTCTTTCGCCGTAGGTTTTGGATAAAGCTTCGAGACGATGAACTTCTGGAATTTTAGACCAAACCTATTTGGGCCCAATGACCCAATCCAATAAGATTCGTATATTTAAGTTGGGCCTACAGGCCCAAACCAATACATTGGCGAATTAAAGCAAATTGCATTAAATTGGATTTGGGACAAAGACAGTAATTAACATATTTACTTGTAATGATGTCCCATTCTCGATGAAAATGGAATTTGAGAACAAAAAAAAAACAGTTAGAAGAAACATAAGAGTATTTTTTTTGGGGTTGAAATCAAGCAGAGAAAAGGCCACAGGAGGCAGCGAGGGCAAACTGTGACTTGGCCTCAAACTTCCTCTTGAAACTCTCCATCTTCTTCTCGACATCTTCAAACGTCAGCATCTTCTTCGCCGTCTCCGGCGAATTTTTCCGGTAACCCATCGCCGGCGACATTTTCTCTTCCGCCGTCTGTTTCAGTCTCCTCTCGTACTCCTCCGCCACTAAGATCGCGATGTCTGCCATCTCTCTTTCTCTCTCCGGTTATCTCCGGTTTAATGCCAAAGAATTTTTTTTTATGAATTATTGCCAAGGAAATTGAACTCGAGAGGTTTTTATAGTGCTTTTTGTGTTTGGATAAGGCTTGAGTTGATTCGGTGCATTTTTCCCCATTTTAAATCATAAAATAAACCAACAAAATAATAATTATTTAAATATTTAGATTCCTGGTCGGTGGTTTTAGAAGAACATGGGCTCGGTTGGTTTATTGATACCATCTACATCCCAATTGTTTCTTCTCTCCTCCAAAAATATTATTTTAAATTTGATTTTGTCAATATACACGTAACTTTATTAAAAGTATTATATCAATAAAATAATATTTAATATTTTTTTAATAACTGGAGAAAATAAAACCTGTTTTAGTACGTACGTGGAAAATGTGATAACCGTGGGACCCACCGGTTTACGGCTGCTGGTTTTACTTACTCCTTGTCTAAACACGTGTGAATGTGAATGTAATAATTGCAGCATAAATTTTGCACGTGTCGCCATCTCGTTCCTATAGACGAAGAGAGGCAAAACATTATTTTGCTCTCTTTAATTAATTTCCTTGCCACGTCAAGCATTTATACATTATCTTATATTATACATTCTTGTATAATTTCAGGTAAATGCGAAAAATATTAAATTGGTCATATTTTGTGTTATTAGGTATAATTATAAATTTATATTCACAAAGCGGAACTAGTCATATATGATATGTTTGAAGCCTAAATCCGTCAAAGCCCATCATGTTTAAATGCCGAAGAAATTGGGCCTTGAATATTAACCTTGTCCTACGCGGTTTGGGTTTGGTCCGGTTATCTAAAAAATTATTATCACGAAAATAAAAAATATATATATTATCACAATATTGCAAGTGAACAAAATATATATTATCGTATTTTTTTTTTCTCTAATACCCATCATTACATTCGCGGTCCTAAGGAGAATCCGATATTGAGACATGAAAAACTAATCCAATGTCCGTACATGCCTACTATTTATGAAAAACAAAAACGTTGCAAAATAATATAAATCCAAAACGAGAAGCTTGTCAAACCATGAAAGTTGGTACTTTGGTTCCTTTCCCTTTTTTTCCCTACCAGTTCGTGTGTGAGTAAGGGGGGAACTGAGAGATTCCAATTGAATGCGAATTTCTTACCAAACACATTGGTGTTGAAGGTGTTTTCCATGGCGGACAAGGGAAGCTCGGCGAGAGGTCCGACGCACTGGACGCCGGCGTTGTTGACGAGAACGTCGATGCGACCAAACTTATCGATGACCTCGGACAGAACCTTACTCACGCTCTGCTCAGACTGGACATCCTTTATTTCTTAAAAAAATAAAAGCAGAAATAGTAGTAATACTGTTATTATTCTCTTCTCGAAGCCATCTTTTTGGAGACTATATCTCTACATGAAATATCTTTATTTATCTCGTATTCTTAATATACATGTATATATATTAAGGTTCCAAGTTGGGATTTAATAAAATACTTGGATAAATCTGTTAAATAGAGTTAAGTCCATGATATTGTATAAAGTCCTTAAATGATATATTTTTTTTCAAATATTGCATTTGATAACAATTTAGTTGACCCCATGCCAAGAAAGAAAATTGTTCATGCACAAACAAAATCCTACCAAGTTATAATTTGAATTATAAAAAATGTACTAGTGTTATTAATTAATATAATTTCTTTAATTCTATCTAAATCATAACAACTTTACACCTATATATGTGGATAAATGGATCTCCTTCTGTCTATGCAGCTTTCACGTTACACACACACACACATATATGCATTAATGATCCTTAAAGACAAGGATTAATAATCATTAATTAAATGATTATTAATCCTCTGCGCACTATAGACCTAATTCATGCCTATTTTTATTTTATATAAGCTATATTCGGATTATATATGTTTGATATCTCCCTCTTTCTTTTAATAGATTCTCCGCCTAATGTATCTCTTTCCCCCTTCAACAACGGTCATAGATGCGTGTTATATATTATGTATATATATATATATATATATATATTACATTCTGAAGTTATTTTTCATTATAACTATAAATATCATGTTTTGTTGTGTTCTTAATAAGTAACGCATCAATGGTAGCAATAATATAATGGCTATTCATTACCAAAAAAAATAAAATATAATGGCTATTTTATTATGTGCACGGTGCATACTCCAGTTTGCGCTACATTTAACGAATATATTTTCTGAATATTTTAAGTGTTTTCTTATTTTATTTTAGAATCTAAAATTGATTATTTTATTTGATTTATGTAAAAAATTAAGTATATTATATGAAGCTTTTCAATATATATATATATATATACTTTCTTGGTCCTACAAACAAAGAATAAATACGTGCAATGCTGTTTCTTGGTTCTTGTAATCTCTATATACTCTTTAATATTTTTTTGTATACAAACATTTCTGTTTTTTGGTTATATATATATAAATAAAATCCGGTATATTTTCGAAGATGGGACTTTTCTACTCTATTATATACAAAATCGACGAGTGAAGTGCCTAATCAGGTTCCATAACCATATGACGCAATCAATGACCCGATCGATGTCGTTTAAATCTCAAAATGCATATACATATTATATATGTGCGCAGATATCTCTGTATTATATACAAAATCACATATATTATATGCGGGAAAGCGTGTACATATGGTCCAACAATGGCCACCAAAGGTTGCTTTACTTCTAAATAGTAAAACGTCCCCGGTTTAAACGACATATGGTAGATTTCTTTTATATTCTCTCTACTATATATATATATATATATATATATATGTATGTAATGTTTAAATAATCTTTTAAGAGCATGCACGTGCAATTGCATGGATCCAAGAAATGACATGTTTTATGCACTAAATTACCCACGTAACATATTAAATCCCCCATCTTTAAACGTTTAAACAAAAAGGTGAACAAAATTTATTTAAATAACCTATGTATAATTAATGTCTACGCATACAAACATTATATATATATATATATATATATATATATATATATGTATGTTTCTAATGTATGAATATTATGCTGCATTCCGCAATTGAAAAAACAATTTGTTTTGTGATATTGAGCCCCTATATCGTAAAATAGGACAACCCATTAATTTAGGGTTCGATCAAACAAAAGTTATATCTAAATATCGGAGTAACGCAATCATATAAATATAATTGTTGGCGTCAATATGAATTTGCTTCATAAGGGTTTAGCCAAAGATATGAATAAAAGGGTGAGACCAACATAATGCATGCATGTAGCCATTCTTAGTGGCAAACCACTTTTAGATGGCACTTGAGAATAATTCCACAAATAGGGAAAAAAAGCAAAGAGTTTATGCGTGACGTCTCAATTCTTTATTTCTCCCATTACTCTAATATATTTTTTTTTCGTGTTATCCGATTATATATTAAAAAAATGCGCATTATTTAAATATGTGGATAGAATATGAAAGGGAAAATCACTAGTCACAAGATGGACCAACCAGAACTCCAAAACGATAAAGCCGCCAATCATATGCATTGTGTAACTTTACACATATATCATTAGCACCGAAATGAAAATTTCAACAATTAATATAAGAGTTTTGAACGTAGAAATAAATAACCGTACCTAATTTCTTACACTTATCCTGTCGCTGCAAGTTCCATCCTACTAGATCTTCCATCTGTTAATTTTCTATGCTACATCCTTTATTTCCTTTTATTATTATTATTATTATTATTATTATTATTATTATTATTATTATTGTTTTGGTCTCGACTGTACCTAATTTATTGAGCTCTATCCTCTCGTATGCTTACGATTTTTATATATATATATTTTCACAAACTTCACTTTATATATATATATTATACGTACGATGTGTCGAAAGTATGTCATTACACTGATGATGCATTATGCAGAATTCGAGATGGCCGTGAATATACACATTAACCTGTTGAAGAACAGAGCATGAAACACAGACACAATTAAAGACAAACAGATGAATCTGCATGTCATGCTCATGTCCATGTACGTGTACATACATGAATATGTCACGTAAGGGTGCAAAATTATATTTAATTATACAATTTTCGATTTTATTAGTGTGTAACAAAAACTAGCGTCGGATAAAGTTAAACATCAAAAGCCACGCAGGATTAAAATGAAATGGGGGTAGTAATTATTATTATAGTTATTACATCATTTTACCTTTAATTTCTAACTGAATCTGCCTGCCAAAAGCAGTGTCATATGCAAATAAATATCAGTGAACAACATTTATAATATAGACGTATCTATTCATGTATATTATATATACACACACACGCGCGTATATACATACGTCTTTATACAACAGAAAACGCCCGATCAAAATCATATTAAATATATATATGAAGCTGTCATTCGTAGTGATTTTAATCATATAGAATTAGGACTATAACTTTATAATAATTCTAGGGGCAAGTTGGAATCACACATTGTCTCCTGTGGTATTTGAAGGGCCACTATGTTACAATCAAAGGCTGTAATAATAGGTGATTCCTTCACCTAACTAACTGTAATATTTAAGCCTGTTTGGCCTCCCGAGGACTCATCTTTTAATTTGTTTATATTACTATCATACGATTTTAATAATTTATAAGAGGAATATATGAATATGTGGATCGTCGGCAGAGGATTATATTCATTTCTATTGATTCGATTCTTGTAAATCTTATATTTATCCCTTTTTTAAATATCAAACATTAATATGACAAATTATTCAATTACTTTACATCTTAACAATGATATATTATATAATTGTATGTAACAAGTTACAAGTATAATAAATCAAACAAATAATATATGGATCTTGGATCTTTACGACTATCATATCAGGGCAATTAATTATTTTTTTTGGTAAACGAGGGAAATTAATTATTAATTAAAAGTATGTGGTAAACAAAAGGAAACTCTTAATAATAATGTTTAACAAAAAAAACTCTTAATAATAATAATATAATATAGGTTGCTTGGTAAACAGAAACATTCATCACCATATAATAATAATATGACTCGGAAAGGAATTAACGTATGATTATCAATTCTATTTGATATGGCCAAACATATTATTAAATATTTTTGTTCGTTGCATATATATCCAATTATTCAAATAGCCGTTACAATGTCATTCGAGAACGAAGCAGAATCTCACGGCTTCGGAATCTCCACGCGCCATGCAAGCGCGTGTTTCACACTTGTTGTAAACTCCACTCTTCCCCGCGAAATATTGCAAACCTAGGCTCTAGCCACACGCCCTTCACCGCGCGTGTACTCCACCTCCGCCGCCAAACATCTAGTTACCGGCGACGGAAGACCGTTAACCTCGCCGTTAAATCACGGGGGCGCAAATTAAAGACGAATGGCGTAGGATAAGTCTACCTGGTGCGCATGCCAGCGAGATAATGGAGACACGACGAATAAAAAACAAAGAGAAAGAAATCTGATTTAATTAATCAAAGGAAAAAAAAATACATTATGGATATTAAAACTGCATTAACTCGTTTGACTCGCTTGAGGTACAATTAAAGACAAAAATCACTGAGAGAACCAAAAAAAAAAGAAATTTAAAATGTATAAACTACTCCTATATTATTAATAAGAGAGAAATTTTAAAGAACTCGTTCAAGGGTTCTTTTAAGTTGTCGTGTTCTCACATGATTCTTCTTCCTCTTTAGTATGATGAGACCTGCGGTTTCCGGACAGAAGGAAGAAATTCTATCCCTTCTGTCGTCGGCCGGAATTGAACTGCGGAATTCTAGGTTTTGCCTCTCACTTCGTCGCTGAAGATTTTTTTTTTCTCTTTTATGGTTTTCGCGGGAAAAAGTTCGCGTTTTTGAAGCCGCTTTGTCGCGAGAGACGTGAAGAAGGTTCGGCTTCGGATCTCTGTTCTTGCTGGGTTATGTTATTGGGTTTGTTTGTTTACTGGGAAACCGAGAGAAAATCGAAATCAGGGTTTCTGGGCATCATATTTTATGATTCCAAGTACCTGCTTGAGTGAAAAATTTCGAAGCTTGTTTACTCTGTTCTACTGCATGACTGCAACACTGAAAGCCTGAAGCTTTTCAATTTTGATGTTTGAATTCCGTTTTCGGGTTTTTTGGATCGATCGTTATATTCCGAACACAACCCCGGGGCTTGCTTCGTTTTGATTTTCTGGTTAGCGTAATTATTATTTTTTTGGTCATTAGTCGCTGTTGAATTTTAGAACTGGATCCGATAATCATCCTCTAGAAAGCTAAAGCTCATCTCTTTTCTGAAAGCCCAGCAATCTCCAGATTGAATGTTTCCTCAAAACCCTGGTAGAAACTAAAGCTTAACTTTTTTCTCTCTGAAAACCCAGATAACGATCTCGACTTTTGCAAGATATTTGGATGCTTTCGTTCTTGAATTACGCCCTTTGATGCCATTTATTATTTGTTCTTCGTCGTCAACTTACGAATATACGGTACAGAGAGACTGAACCCTGTTGTGGAAGAATCTAAGATCAGTGGTAGCAATGGGAATGTAAGGATTTTCTCCATTTGGGGGTGTTTAGGTAGGTCCACCGTTAGTGCAAATAAAAGGCAAACAGTGAGACCCAATAAGTGACAGGACCTTGGAAGATTGGGTATGTTTTTGGAATGCAATACAGGAGTGTACAGATTCAATGATCTTATCTGTTATCACCTTCAAAAGAACAGGTTTTTTTCCTTCTCTGGTGGGCAAAGTCAAAATTTTGCCTTATCGGAGCATATGGATAGATAGATAGTAGGTGCTGGAGTTGACATGTTGTGCGGTGGAAAGTGACTTAAAAGACACAACCATTCGTTCTTCTCCTGCTTCCACTGAAACATATGTTTCACTGCCCTTCCCAAGTTGTAGGAATCTCGTCCGCCTTTTGATTTTCTCTATCGAGTAGAACTAGAACCGTTTACAATGCTACATCATGTGAGGTTTGTTGAAACTCTTAACTCGAATTTGAAGGGAGATTCACTGTTTCCATTAGCTGATGCCAAGGCTTTTGCTTTCTTTCTATCTTTGCTAATGTGAGACCGGGGCTTTGCCTTTATGATACGCCTGTTATGTCTGAAAAGTTCATAAGGTTTTCTTCTCTTATTTGCCAGCTGAGGAAACATGAATACAACTTCAACGCATTTTGTACCGCCAAGAAGGGTGGGTATGTACGAGCCTCTCCATCAGATGGGCATGTGGGGAGAAAGCTTCAAGGGCAACGGAAGCCTGAACATGCCGAGCCCTATCATTGTGCCGTCCAATCCAAAACTAGATAACTTGGTACTTTGCCCCTCCCATTCCCCGGTGTTTCTTGAAGATATTTGTTTCGGATTTCAGACACTAACTCTCTCTACTTATGAAACTTGTCCAGTCAGAGGATACTTCTCACGGGACGGCAGGAACTCCTCACAAGTTTGACCAAGAAGCTTCGACATCTAGACATACTGATAAGGTGAAGCATGAATGTTTCTGTCCAGACCGTTTTAGTTCATCTTCCCCTAATTGAGCCTTACTGTGTCATCGAATGGCGAATGCAGATACAGAGACGTCTTGCACAGAATCGGGAGGCAGCTAGGAAAAGCCGTTTACGCAAGAAAGTACAAAGAAACTTATAATCTGTCTAAGCCATTTAGAAAATGCCCTAAACCGTTCTGTTTGTTTACTCAATCCAGGAGCTTACTTTTGCAGGCATATGTTCAGCAGCTGGAAACAAGCCGGTTGAAGTTGATCCAGTTAGAGCAAGAGCTCGAACGAGCTAGACAGCAGGTCAGCGAAATTCATCGGTATCCTTTTGTTGTTATTCAAGTATCTCAACAAATGGCAGCGATTTCTGATCAAAGATTTACGTGTTCAGGGTTTCTACGTAAGTGGCGGTGTAGATACTGGTTCTCTCGGTTTCTCGGGAAACATGAACACAGGTTTCTGTCATAAAGCTTTCGCCTTCTGCCCTGTAATTCTCACCTCAATACAAAATCTGACATAGTTTGGCTAATGGAGAAAAGATTCATTTGTTTTATAGCTATAGCTGCGTTTGAGATGGAATATGGGCATTGGGTAGAAGAACAGAACAGGCAGATATGCGAGCTAAGAGCGGGTTTGAGTGGTCATGTCAGTGACATAGAACTGCGGATACTGGTCGACAGTGTCATGAAACATTACTTTGAACTCTTCCGTATGAAGTCTTCGGCTGCAAAATCCGATGTTTTCTATGTCATGTCGGGGATGTGGAAAACTTCGGCTGAACGGTTTTTCTTGTGGATAGGCGGATTTCGACCCTCCGAGCTTCTCAAGGTAATCTTCATCCCCCCTGTTTGCAAAAGCGTTTCTTTTACCATCACTTTACCGTTCATTTGGTAATTGGTATCCACGGGTAATACTTGATCTCGGACTCTATTACCTGAATTCGGACCCAATTTTCAAGTTTTCTTCACATTATATCTGGCTCATCCCATACATTGTTCGTATACCCGAATTTTGGATACTCGGACTTTCCAATAAGAAACAGTACAGTTGTAGATTTACGACGATATTTTTTTTAATTGTAAGGGATGGATGGAATTTTTTTTTCAGGTTCTCCTGCCACATTTAGATGTATTGACGGAGCAACAGCTTCTAGATGTATGCAACCTGAGGCAATCGTGTCAGCAAGCGGAAGACGCATTGTCACAGGGGATGGAGAAGCTTCAGCACACGTTGGCGGAAAGCGTAGCGGCCGGACAACTCGGGGAAGGAAGTTACATTCCTCAGATGAACTCTGCGATGGAGAGGTTGGAGGCTCTTGTCAGCTTCATTAATCAGGTAAGAAAAAAAAGGTTGCATCTTTATCATTAAAAATATCAGGACAGGATATGTGTGAAAGTATAGTATGGTTCTTGAGAGAGAAATCTGACAGATGGGTCTGATTCTTGACAGGCTGATCATCTCAGACACGAGACGCTGCAGCAGATGTATCGGATCTTAACCACACGACAGGCGGCGAGGGGACTGCTCGCACTGGGCGAGTATTTTCAACGCCTTCGGGCTTTGAGCTCGACTTGGGCCACTCGCCAACGCGACGCCACCACGTAGTAGACGGATGGTGATTATGTTATAGAGAATAAGTAGTCAAGAACTGAAGAACACGAAGAAGATCATTGTTGAATCTCAAGAACTACTAGCGTAGATTGCTGGTGTTTGCCATACTTGGGGTGAGACAGGAGAATAACAGGTGATGGTGATTGGTGATGATGTTTTTTTTTTTTTTTTGTGGTGAGGGGAAGTTGTAAATATGAAACAGATGGATGTGCGGTAGTAGATTGGGGGG